GTTCTAAGAGTGTTGATTGTGGAGCCGAGCAAGCTGTAGTTGTTAACAACTTCAGTCTCTTCTCCATCTATCATGATGCTGCCAGTTGGCCTTGTGGTGAGAATCTCTGTCATTTTGATGCTGAGCTTCAATCCATATTGAAGACTATAGTCCGTGACCTTCTGTAGCAAGCACTTCAGGTCCTCCTCAGTTTCAGCAAGCAAGGTTGTGTCATCTGCATAACATAGGTTGTTGATGAGTCTCCCTCCGATCCTGATGCCACACTTCTCCTCATAAAGCCAAGCCTCCTGAATGGTCTGTTCTGCATATATATATTGAAAAGATATGGTGACAGGGTCCATCTGTGATGCACCCTTTTCCTGATTTTGAACCATGCATTGTTTCCCTGCTCTGTTCTGAGGACTGCTTTCTGGTCTAACTATAGGTTTTGCATAAGCACAATCAGGTGTTCTGGGATTCCCATTCTCCTCAAGGTTAATGACAATTTACTGTGATCCACGTAGTCAAATGCCTTTGCATAATCAATGAAACACAGACATTCCTCTGGTACTCTCTGCTTTCTGCCAAGAGCCATCTGACACTGGCAATAATGTCTCTAGTGCCACCACCTCTTCTAAACCCACCTTGTATTTCTAGTAGTTCTGTCAGTGTACTGTTCCAGTCGTCCCTGGATAATCTTCAGCAGATTTTGCTAGTGTGTAATATTAGTGATATTGTTCTATAATTTGCGCACTCTGTTGGGTCACCTTTTTTTTGGAATGGGAGTAAATGCAGACATCTTCCAGTGTGTTGGCCAGGTGGTTGTCCTCCAGATTTCTTGGCACAACCTGGTGAGCACATCCAGAACAGCTGCTGTTTGTTGAAATATGTCAGTTGGTATTCTATCAATTCCTGGGGCTTTATTTTTTGCCAAGTCCTTCAAAGCAGCCTGAACTTCCTTCATCACTATTGCTTCTTGATCATATGTTGTTTCTTGAAATTCTTCTGAGTCAGCCAATTATTTTTGGTATAGTGACTCTGTATACTCCTTCCATCTTCTTTCAATGCCTCCTGAATCATTTAATATTCTTCCCATTGCCTCCTTAAGCATTGCAACTCGCAGCTTGAATTTGTTCTTTAGTTCCTTCAGCTTCAGAAATGCTGAGCAGGTTTGGCTCTTTTGATTTTT